AAAGCTCTGTAGTGGGGCTGGGGACTTAGCTCAGTGGCACTGCGCCTGCCTTGCAAATGCAAGGTCCTGAGTTTGATGCCTGGTACTGGGCGGGGGGGAGCGCTGTAGTGTTGGGAGTGCAGTTCAGTGGTAGACTGCTCACTTAGCATGCACAAGGCCCTGGGTTGGATCCTCAGCACCAAAGATACAAAAACAAAACCAAAAACTCCTTGGGACTGACTCCCTCGCTCCAGGATAGGTTATAGTAAATATATTTCACAGCCATGGAGAAAGGAAAATCATTCCAGGGAAGGGGATTAATTGCAGAGCATGCAGCTCCAGCCTCAAATTTCAGCCAAATCTGCTAATCAGATTTGACTCTGGACGCTGAATTGGATGCCTGCTTCAGCATCACTGTACCATGCTAGACCTGTGTGTGGTCAGGGCTCCTGGCCCTGTGTGTGATTCTGTCCCCTCTGATCAGCACCAATGACTTCAGCACACAGACAGGCCATGTCATCCAGATCCATCGCTCATGTGCGAACATGCACTTCAGCCAACAGTGGAGGTTTGTTCCTGCATTATACTGTCAGGCTTTTAAATTCTGACTACTAAAGCATTAAACATTAAATCTGTGATAATAATTTAAAATTCTGATATATTTTCAGGTGTATTCTTTTTTGTTTGTTTGCAGCGTAGGGAATCAAACCCAGGACTTTGTACTTGCTATGCAAGCATTGTACCACTGAGCCCCAGTGCCCAGATTTATTCTTATATCCTAGAAGTTCATTCTATGATGGTGATATTTGGCTTCAGCTTTATATTAATATGCTGATTTATGTACACAGCTATTCAGCCAAAATACACAGTATCTCTAACTTATTTATTTGGTACTGGGGATTGAACCCAGGGCTTCACACAGAGCTACATTCCCAGGACTTGACTCTCCCCTCTTTTTTCCCTTTCCTTTTCCCTTTCTCTCTCTCTTTTTTTTTTTTTTTGTAATTTAAAATCTTTATTGATTAATGTTTTCTAGAAATATTGTTTTGTTGTTTTGTTTGGTACTGGGGATCAAAGTCGGGACCTTGAGTCTGCACGGCAGGCAGCAGAACCACTGAGCCAAATCCCCAGCACCAGAAATATTGTATTTTTAAATAAATCACCAAAGGCCAAATACTTCTCTCTCAATTCTTTTTTTCATGTGTTTGGGTTTTTGGGGGGAGGGGATTGAAGCAGGATCTTGCTAGGTAGTTATGAAATTCAGGCTGGCCTTGAACTCGCAGCAATCCTCAGGCCTCAGACTTTCAAGTGCTGAGATTACAGGCCTGCTCCACCATGCCTGGCTCGCTTCTCAATTCTTTTTTTTGGTACCAGGGATCAAACTTGGGACCCTGGGCTAGTGAGGCAGGAGGCAGAACCACTGAGCCAAATCCCCGGTCCTTCGCTTCTCAATTCTAAGCCACCAGGGGCTGGGGATTTAGCTCAGTGGTTCTGCTGCCTGTCTTGCAAGTGCAAGGACCCGAGTTCAATCCCCGGTACCAAAAAAAGAAAAAAAAAAGTTAATTCTAAGCCACCAAACATAATACTTATTTCCCCACCAAATATAATACTTATTTTTTAACTAATCAGTTTGTGATAGCTGTGAGTCTCAAACGATTTTTTTCAAACACTTTAAAAATACAAGATTAGGCCCAGGGATTTAGCTCAGTGGTCTCGCTGCCCACCGCGCAATCACAAGGACCCAAGTTCGATTCTTGGTACCCAAAAAAAAATACAAGCTCATAGGAGCAAACAGACCATATGTTGCAATTTTTTAAAAAAACAGGAAAAACCTTACTCTAACTGATCAAATCACCATCATCTGGATTCAGCCTTCTTCGCTGTAATGTCTTTGTTCACCAGCACTGCACACACGGGAGGCGTCCCCACAGACGTCCTCACGTCCCAGGTGCAGCTGGTGCATGCAGCAGCCAGGGCACAGAGAGGGGCCCTGCTGATGCAGTTCTACTCTTCAGCAGATACTTCTCTACTCTCTGCATCATCTTCATCTTTATCCTTGCAAGTCTTGACTGTTGCTATCAATAAAACAATTTTCTTCCCCATTCGCTCTCTTTCTCCTTTTTCTTCTTCACTAAAGCTTTACCTTCAGTGAAACTTTTCATCTCTTGATTGCTGAAGTACTCAAATACTTTTCCACTTTTGCCTTTCTTTGAAACAAACTCATCAGATATTCCTAGTGCTTTTAGTTTGTTAGAATAATGCTTTTCTGCTGCCATTCTCACATTTTTCTGAGAAACTCTTTCAAATAGTAGTGGCCTCATTTTTAGCTTTTCTTCTCCTTCTTCTAGTTCTTGTCGGTGTTCTCTCATCCTTTCCTTTTCACTCTTTCTGGAAGAGTTGCTAGGAACATCTTCCCTGACGGTTACTGGCTGAACTGCCTTTAAATTTAATTTATTCTAGTGCATTTTCTCTAATTTTGCCATAGTTTCTATGTGAGCCGCCTTCAGCTCTTCTAGTTTCTTGAAATACTACTCTTCATTAGAGTGGCACACATCAGAAAAGCTCACAATGTCGCCACAGTTTATACTTCTTTCCAGCACACAAAAGTTGGTGCTCGAATCAGCCGACACCCACGCAGGCCGTGACACCTTCTTCTCATCCTCTTCCTTCGAGGCGGCCACTGTCACCGCCAGGGCCACTAAAGGGTCTTCACGCTCGCACTGGGCGACCCGCACTCCGGTGTTGGGATTCACCGGCAGGTGGAGACTGGCCACTGCCAGTCTCGCCTCCTGGTTCGAGGCTGCCATCACCCCGCCCCTGAGGCTCAAGCGCCAGCGCTGGCCCGGGTCGGGTAAGCTGGCGCAGCCTCCACAGACCTGGCAGCTTTTTCTGTCTCTTTTTTCTTTTGAGACAGGGTCTAAGCTGCTGAATGGCCTAGGCTGGGCTTGAACCTGCAATCCTCCTATCTCAGCTTCCCAGGGTGCTGAGATTACAGGCATGTGCCACAGACCTGCTTAATATTAATTAGCATCTTTAAAAGACTAATTTTCATAGGCATCAAAGATAAAATGGCAAACTGTCTTTTCCTGAAGCAAATCGAGTTGTGTTTTACTTCCACAAGGATGCATGCCCAAAAGGAACACTTTTGTCTTCCACCCACACCTGACACCAGACCTATGACTCAGGGTCTCCTTTATCGTCCCCTCTGCCCAAAACAACTTCCTCCCCCAGACTGCAGCCTCTCAGTCTGTCTCTCAGTTTGAGTGAAGGAGTCAGAGGGCTCTATTCTGATGGTGAGTGAAAAAGAAATTGCCAAACAGTCAAAGGTCCATCTTGTGGGAAGCGCAGAGGTTATGGGTCCACAGAGGCCCCAGCAGGCGACAGTGACTCAGAGCCCCTCAGGTGAGTTGTCTGGGGACACAGCTGTTAACAACAAAGCCCCCTGAAAACAATCACACTCTCTCCCTCGACAAGTCTCACCAGTACTGGTGAAGCTGTGCACACACAGCTTATGCTCAGCAGTGGGGGACAGGGGTGCCATTACACCTAAGAGTGCTCACTCCCTCCAGCTGTTGAAATCAATGGCATCATTTGCTAATCTCCAGCTGCGGCTCATGACCAGAGGTATAATTTATCTTCCAGAGTCTGAGTTTGGGGTTAAGCCAGAGGTTTAGTCTAGAAGGCTGGCGAAAAACTCCTTTAGTCAGTCGATGCTTACCTCCTTGCCTTTCCCAGGGAAGGAAGATAAAGTAAACCTTCCCATCTGTCTTTCCCTACATGCACTTGCCTTTTCCACTTGTTTTCAGCAGTGACTAATTAGCAAGGCAAAACAAAACATTTAAGGAAATAGCGGCAAAATAGAATGATGGCCAAAAAAGGCACAAAGGGAACAAGACTGGAGCCATGTGTAATGTTCCATGAGCAGAGCGGCCAGACTCAGATGGTCTCCAGAAGTCGGGAGTCCGATGAAGAAGGTGAGGATGAACTGGAGACCCTACAGCTCCCTGGCTGTGGTGAATGAGCCAGCACCTCACCACACTTTGGAAACTGTCAAAGAGAAGTGTTTCATCATTAGGATAAAATGATGACCAAACATGGTTCTGGGCTACTGATCAATTCTGATGGCTGGACATACAACGCAGGATGGTTTCAGAGAAATATTTCAACTGAGAAGAAATAATTACTAAGGGATGAAATAACTGTATGAAATTCTAGTGTGATACATGACAAAATACTGGGGAAAAGGAAAAGTAAATGTTCAAGTAAAATATTTCTCCTGGAGCTGAAGATGTAGCTCAGTGGTTGAGCATTTGCCCAGCATGGCCCAGGGTTCAGTCCCCAGCTCCAAAAACACAAAAAATTTTTTTCTTCTTTTAATTCCCTTTTTAGAATTTCTGACCCTACAGAACATGAAGACTTCAATTTGCCAAGCTCCAAAAAGCACTGCATTCTTATCTGGAATTCTATCTTTGAGATCTGTGGCACAATTACCAAGGACAAGGCTGGAAGAAACTCAAATTTCTCAGTTTTCCAGTCAAAAAATTTAGGGCTAGGGGTGTAGCTCAGTGGTAGAACACTTACCTACCCCGAGTAAAGCCCTGGGTTCCATTCCCAGCACTGCAGAATAATAAAAGTTTACTAATATTAAAGGAATCGATCCATGGCTACCCTCCGGAGTCTATCTGCTTTAAAATGCAACAATTAAAAAGGGAAAAAGAGAATAATCATGTGAACACCAAAGCAGCAAGTCACAATTAATTAAAAACCTGAATTCCTCTCCCTATCTTCAAACCTCAGAGGTCAGGCCTTGAGAGCCGTCCCCACTGAACAGCTGGCAGCTCAGTCCCCGAGGAGTGTCTCCTCCCACAGTACACAGAGGCAGGAGCCGGGGTCACATGCACATCCAAGCAGCCACAAGGTCAGGAAACACGGGTCTGCAGCAGATGCTCCCCGTGGAAAGACAACGGTTCCCACATGGGAGGGGCCCTCCCAGGCCCTCCACAGTCCTACCCACAGCTTACCTCGGTACAAGGTGGTTGAACTTGTAAGAATTGAAGATTTCCTGGATCTTTTCTTCTACTTTGGCCTGGTAAAGATGCAGGACATGGGAGAGAGAAAACAAAGAGAAATGAGACCACTACCAACTTTTCCTCCATGTTTAGACAAATACCTATTAGGGGGAGTTGCTCAGCGTACTGCAGTATTCAAGACTGAATTCAGAGGCTCTACAGGATGACAGGGTTGACAGGCTCAGGACAGAGTGGGGGATGTGGATGAATGAGTCATCTGCACCCTGCTCTCATCAAACTGACTCCTCCAGTGACCGAATCCATGACATCCAAACTGTAACTGTGGCTGCCCTTTTGTGAGCTGTCCTCTGGCTTCTGGTTTTTTTTTAATTTTATTTTATTGGTACATTCATTGGAAATTTGCACCTTTACAGAATCTCTCTTGGTTCTTACTTTCCCCCCTTCTCCTGCCCTCCCTTCAACCCCTCCATCCCTCCCTATTTACAAAGACTTTGTTTCCATTTTTTCATTTTCTAATATTAATTCCATTCCCTTCTTTCCTTCCCCTACCTTTCCAACTTCCCCTTCCCTTTTACCCCTTTTCTTCCTATTTCACATTACCTATTATACCTTTTAGTCCTTATTTACACTTTCAGTTTCTCACACTAGAGAAACTATTCAGTATTTACACATGTGTGTCCTATTTATTTCACTTAAGAGTATTGCCTCAATGTGCATCCATTTAGCTATAAATGTCTCTAATTTCTCATTTTTTATGGCTGAGTAACACTCCATTTTATTTAAAAACCACATTTTCTTTATCCAGTCTCCAGTTGATGGGCAATTGGGGTGCTTCCAAGTTTTACCTATTACAAACTGTGCTGCTATGAACATGGGAGCACATATATCACTGTGGTATGATTCTTTTAATTCTTTGGGGGAGATCCCCAGCAGGGGAATAGCTGGGTCAAATGGGACTTCCAGTCCTAGTTCTTTGAGCTATCTCCATACTGATTTCCACAGTGGTTGCACCAGTCTACACTCCCACCAACAGTGGAGCAGGGTTCCTCTTTCCCCACAGCCCTGCCAGCATTTGTTATTGGTTGATTTCATGATAGCAGCCATTCTTTCTGGACTGAGGTGGAATCTCAGCGTTGTTTTCATTTGCATCTCTCGAATGACCAGTGATGTTGAACATTTTTTCATATGTTTATTTGCTATTTCTACTTCTTTGTCTGAGAAATGTCTATTCATTTCAGATACCCATTTTTAGATTGGGTCTTTAAATTTGGGAGGTCTGATCTTTTTAAGTTCTTTCTAGATTCGAGATAGTAGACCTTTGTCTGAGAAACAGCAGGTGAAGATTTTTTTCCCACATTGTGGGTTGTCTGTTCACACTGCTGGTGGTTTCTCTTGCTGTGCAGAAGCTTTTTAATAAGAAGAGATCCCACTTGTTGATTGTGCTAGTTCACTGGCAACTGAGGTTTTGTTTATAAAATCTTTTCCTACACCAATGTCTTCAAGAGTTCTACCTAACCTCTTCCAGCCGATTCAGCATTTCTATTTTAATATTTAGATCTTTAATCCATTTTGATTTTAGTTTAGTGCATGGTGAGAGATATAGGTCTAGTTTTAATCTTTGACTAGTTGAAATCCAGTTTTTCCAGCATCATTTATTAAAGAGGCTATCTTTCCTCCATTGAGGGTGTTTGGCTCCTTTGTCGAAGATGAGATGGCTGAGTGTGTCTGGAGTTGTTTCAGCATACTCTAATATGTTCCATTGATCCTCAGGTCTGTTTCTTTGCCAGTACCATGCTGTTTTCATCACAGTAGCTTTGTAGTATAGTTTCATGTTGGGGGTTGTGATACCCCCTGCCATGTCTCTGTTACCTAGAATTGTTTTTGCTATCCTGGGTCTCTTCTTGTGCCAAATGAATTTTTGGATTGTTTTCTCAAGGTCCGTGAAGTATGCTGCTGGGAATTCAATTGGGATTGAATCTATATAGCAGTTTTGGAAGTATGGCCATTTTCACTATGTTGATCCTTCCTACCCAGGAGCAGGGGATCTCTGACTTCTATCTTTGCCCAGCATTCTAAAGAAAAGCCACACCTAAATGATTAAGATGTTGCTAAATAACCTTTCTTTCAATTAATAGCCCCTAAGGAATTCTGGTGACCTTCATATAACATTAGAATGTGTAATGCCCCTCTTTGCTTATGCTTTAATTATGTGCATCAACTAACATAAGGTGTGTAATGTGCTGTGATGTTTAAGAAAAATAATATTTGTCTAAAAAATTACAGGAACTAGTCCCAGCAGATCAAGGTAGATTGAAATGTTTAGGCCTCCAGATTAAAATATAAATAAAATAGAGGGCCAGGGATTTAGCTAGTGGCACCATGCCTGCCTCAAAAGCACAAGGTCCTGAGTTTGATCCCCGGTACCAAATAAATAAATAAATAAAATAAAAAAGGAGACACATGCTCAACATGACAAAGACCCTGTTTGGCACACAGACTTTCTGCCCATTGCTCCGGGATCTCCCTTTCATATACCTGAGTTCTCTAAGATGCTCTTTTTTGGCTGAAAGCAATGAAAACTCCTTCCCATGTTCTCAGGGTACCAACCCTTGATTAACCTACTTTCTTTCCCAACCCTCTTTTCCCAAGTATTAGCTTTAAAGTGGTGAGCAGATGGATCCAGTACTGGACTTGGGTCCAGTAAAGAAACAATGGCAGTTTTTTTGTTTGGCTCCCTGGCACCAGTCACTCAGAGATCAGGTGAAGACTGAATCCACCCCAAAATATGCCTCAATGCCATAAGGATTATTTTAAGGAACTGCTGACACAGGAGAACCTCTGAAAAACAGAGGTCACCCTTTTGTAAGGGAAATTCACATCTATAAAGGAAATCTCAATTTGTAAGAGGGTCTCCTCTCTGTACCCAGAAGAGAAAGAAGACTAAATCATAAGAAACTCTAATCAGTGAAGAAGGCAAATAATTAAATCACATAACAAAACTTATTCTTGTTTGCTTTTCCTGGTCACCTCCCTATAACTGGCCTCTTTCACACTCTCTGTTTTTAGTGGAAGATACTATGTAAGTGGCATTCTGGGCCACCTCTTTTGGAGTTACTCACTTTTCTGCATGTATCTCCCATGTTTATATGACATGTGTATGCTAAAACATGTCTGGTTTTCTTTTGTTAATCTACCTTTTGTTACAGGGGTCCCAGATAAGCAAGAACTTAGAGTAATAGAGGGAAATGATTCTTTTCCTCCTATGGTTTTGTTTTGTTGCAGTGCTAGGAACTGAACCAAGGGCCACACACATAGAAGGCAAGTGCTCTATCACTGAGCCCTTAACGATTTATCCTTGTCTGCTCTAGTTTGGGTGTTCTATTAACCAGCCTCTCTCAGATACACAATTAATTCCTGCCACTCATTTTGACTGTCAGATTAAACGGTTTAAATAAAAGTATGAAAACCATCTAAGGAATTTATAAAAAACATCAACTGCTAGGGCTGGCGATTTAGCTCAGTGATTCCACCGCCTGCCTTGTAAGCGCAAGGACCTGAGTTCGATCCCCCATACCAAAAAAAAAGAAAAAAAAAAAATCAACTGCTGAAACATTAAAGAAATAGCAAATCTAGTTCTGTGCCACACAGAGAATTCCATGGTCCCACAAAACATAGAGTCTCAGAGAAGAAATCACAAAAGAAGCCACATCTGTCTCCTCTGAAGACAATAGCATAATGTGGGCTTGCAATAGAGTTTTTGTAAGGACAAGAGTATGGAGAAGGGGGAGGAGACACATGCTCCTGATGTCAAAGACCCTGTCTGAGTGAGGGGGCTGACCAGCCAGAGACAGGACTTCACTTTTCTCCCCCCGCTCCCCCATACCAGGAATCAAACTGAGGACCTTGCGCTTGCCAGGCAGGCTCGGCGCCACTGAGCTACATCCCTGGTCCTCCCATTCTTTATCTTTGTAGTGAAGCATATTCTCTTTGAGATTGCAAAACATATACTCCCTGGAAAAAAAATTGGGGGGAGATGGTGATATTGCAGATTGAATTCTTGTACACTAGACAAATGCTCTACCACTGAACTACACCCTCAGGCCTCCCTGGGCAACTTTAAAAAAAAAAGAGCGATCATCTATTTCTGAAACTTCCACGGAGTTAGAGCTTCTCGTCTCTTTAACCAGAGACAAACAAATTATTTGTGATGATGAGGGAAGCAATCTCAAATGGCAGCCAACCTAAAGTTAATTTATATTTCTTTTTAGGATATGCTCTAGTATTTGTATTTGAATACGAATTTGCAGAGTGAACTAGTTAAGAATTTATGATATATCAAAAAATATGCTGAAGTCGTCATGAGGACCTGAGTTGTCCCAGCCGGGCGTGGTGGCTCATGCCTGTTATCCCAGTACTGTGGGAAGCAAAGGCAGGAAGGATCACCAGTTCCAGCCCAGCCTGGGCAACTTTAGTGACTTAATGAGATCCTGTCTCAAAAAAAAATTTTTTTTAAGGGCTAGGGATGTAGCTCAGTATGTAGGCCCTGGGTTCAATTCCTAGTACCACAAAAAGTAAGTGGTCCCATATTCCCATAATTATTTTTCCATTCCAGACACTCACATGGGACTTATATAAAGTACCACCTAAATGGCATACAGAGAGCATTTTTCCACCATGCCTTCCTTAGCTGTGAACTGAATGGAACAGAAAAATATACAAGAAGCATATGTCAGTAAGATCATTAAAGATTTTCCCAGATATAGTATTATATCTGAGTTGGTGAATTCTGAATGAAATAAGACCAACTGGGTGGAAAATTCACTTCCTTTGCCCAAACACAAGCCTATGCAAGTCCATATGACTTCACAATATTCACGGACTAATGGACAAGTCCCTCTTTTCCCTAGCAGTCTGACTCTTGGAAGCCTGGAGAGAAAACCTTCCAGTCAAGAATTCCTGAAGGAGAAGTCCCATTTTCCACTCTCACTCAAGGAACATAAGCAGCCAAGGACTAGACAAGGAAAGCAGGTTTATTTCGTCAGTAATGTACCTGACA